GTACAGCACCGGCATCCTGATACTGTATTCTTTCCGTGGGGAGCACAGGCTGTCGGCAGCCCAAATCCCCCCCACCTCCCCTCCTAACCTTCCCTCCTCAGCCAGAGTCCTGAGCCCCTGTGCCAGGCCACCTCCACACCGGCTGAGGGGCACCTGCTGTGGCCTGTCTTAGGATGCAGTGCCCCCCCACTCCATACACTTGACTCTGCCACCCTCTAGGCTCCCTGTGTCTTCTTGCCAGCCCTTCGTAGGATGCCCCCTTCCCTTCTCCTGGATCAATCCAGCTTTTCTGTGAGATTCGTGATGGAATGATACAGGTTTACACACCACTGTTCTTATGAACCCCTTCCCCAGTATTTCCTGGGACAATGACCCAAAACACAGATGAGGACAGACTCTCAGCTTTCTGGTTGCATTAGCCGTTTGCCATTTTCCTGCTTTCTGCTCCCACAGCAGGTTCAGTGAGCTTTTGCAGGGCGGGCTCTCCCATCCACAGAGCCTTCCTCACCGTGCAGAATTCCCAGGCACTTGGTTTAGCTCCAGGCCTGACAGGCACTGCTCAGTTACTCCTGTAGGTTAACCAGTGGGTGGGTAAGTGCAGCCCATCTCCAGAGCGACGGCCCTGCTGTCTGTGGACCACCCAGAGGCCCTGGGGACGCTGGCGCATCTTGTCTTCACTGAGTCTGTCCCAGGTGGGCACTCTCCCAGGTGAGGATTCCGTTCTCTGTTGATCACTCCTGCTTGTGGGCCCCATGTGCACCCCCTCCCTGCTCTTCCTTCAGCACCAGCAGCACTCTCCTTGAACCCTAGGAAAAGTGAGCTCCTTCACAATGTCTTAACAAAGTCGCCCTCCTTCACCCCAAGTGGGGGACAATGGGAGGCCAAGGGGATAAGAAAATCTCTTCTGTAACAAAACTTTTTAATATAGTGAATGAACATGAAGAGAAAAAGGGAGCCTCAGTAAGACCTGTAGAACAGAGGTGCCATCACTCCAGATTAGCTTTTTTTAATAAAGATTTATTTTTTTAGAGATAAAGAGTGTGGGAGGGGAGGGGCAGAGGGAGAGGGAGAATTTCCTGCAGCCTCCATGCTGAGTGCAGAGCCTGATGGGGTGAGGGGCGTCGATCTCACCAACCTGAGATCGTGACCTGAGCCGAAACCAAGAGTTAGACACGTAACTGACTGAGCCACCCAGACGCCGCCCCCCACTTTTTTTTTTTAATAATCCAGAATTTGCTTGAAAAGAAGTCATGGGCATCTAAAAGACTCCCACATGGAGGCGTTTATGTCCCAAGGCTATGGAAAGAAGTGGCTTCCCCAATTACACTGTGCTTCTGTTTGAGGTCACACACCATGATGTATGACTTTTGAGTTACATTGGTGGCAGGTCACCAGCAAATTAGGCAGAGGGAAACCAAGGCTTAATTGCCTGGGGTTCTTCAGGTTCAGCTTTCGTTGTCAGGGATTCTGTCAGAATTTTCGCTCCCATGATCTGTACACATGGAGTTACTTCCACAAACACGTTATGTTGCAAGGCAAAAAGCACTTGGCAGATGTAATTATCCAGATGGGTCCAATGTAAAATCCAGTGGACCTTTCAGAGCAGAGAGCTATAGCTTCAGAGGAACTCCAAAAGAGTCAAAGCAGAAAAAGCATCCCACGCACGTTGCTGGCTTAAAGATGGAGGCAGCCCCATGTCCAGGAAACAGGATTCCAGTCCTGCAGACCCAAGCAACTGGAGTCTGCCAACAACCTGAATGAGCTTGGGAATGATGTCTTCCCCAGGGCCTCCAGAAAGGAAGGTAGCCCAGCCTAAGTGAGCAGAGACTCTAGCCACACTGGACTTCAGACATTAAAAGCATGAGATAATAAGTGGGTAGTTTGTTTTTATTTCCAAGCTGCCAAGTAGGTAATCTGCTACACAGCCACAGAAGACAATGTCAGCTTTGTGGCAGAAGGTACATCAGCCTTCACCAAACAGCAGTTTCTGGCACTCTGTTCTGATAATCTCTTGTTACATAATTAATCACTCTAAAACTGAATAGGTCAAGGGGCGCCTGGGTAGCTCAGTGGGTTAGAGCCTCTGCCTTCAGCTCAGGTCATGATCCCAGGGTCCGGGGATCGAGCCCCACATCGGGCTCTTTGCTCGGCAGGAGCCTGATTCCTCCTCTCTCTCTGCCTGCCTCTCTGCCTGCTTGTGATCTCTGTCTGTCATATAAATAAATAAAATCTTAAAAAAAAAACTGAATAGGTCAAGAATTTGGAAGACCCAGTTCAACATTTAGGTCTCAGGGTCTGGTGGAATTGCTGTCAGGGGTGGCTAGAGCTGGAGTCATCTCAAATGCTCCTTCACTTCACATATCTGGTGACTGGGCTCAGAAAACTGGAAAGTTGGGGACCCTTGGGCATCTCTTTGACTCTCTCTCTATGGTCTGTCCACTGTGGTGGCTCTGGGTAGTTGGATTTTTTGAGACCTTGGGGCTCTAAAGCTGCATGTCCCAGGAGTCACATAGCACCACCTGAGCCATCCTCTCTTAGGTGGCCACAAAGTCCTATCCAGATTCCGGGAGAGGAGACATAGATCCCTCCTCATGATAGGGAAGGGGCAAGGTTCTGGAAGAGCTCATGGGACTAGAAATACCGTGGTGGCCATCTTCAGAGAATACAGTCCATCCTTGGGCCACAACAGTTCACACATGCCCCACACCTGGGAAAACCCACACTCAAACTCTTCCTCCCTGAAGAGCCCCAAGTCTTACCACATTGTGTCGGGAGGCCAGGGTCTTGTCATCTGGATCAGAACCAAGGATGGAAGAGGCTCCCTAGGTCAGTTCCTCAGTGCTGCTTCTCCACACGCGGACCTGAGAACCAGTGAGATGCTCTATCTGCCCCATACACTCCCAGGCCCTGGTGGGACCAGCATCATCTAGCTGCTACAGACACAACCCAAAAGAGGGCAAGAGGAAACATATGGTAATCACCAGTCTTTAGCAGTTTCTGCGACGCAGTTAGGCTGTTTCCAGTTCCTCCATCAGGGCCTAGTCTTACTGCCTGGGAACAATTCTCTGTGAATCTGGCTCCAGCTTCTGGACTCTCTACCCCAACCTCTGAATTATCTTTCCTTTCTTCGGAAGATGTAGCTCAGGATTGCAGCTGAGTAGTTTTTCCCGACTGCTTCTTGCTTGCAGAAATTTGGGGTTCTAAGATTCCCTTTTCATTTTGTTTAGTCTCTGTCTCCCTTAATTCAAACTGATATGGCTCCTTTTGAAACACTGCTTCTTATTGATTCATAATTAACTAATATACCCATGAAAGCCATATCCACAAAACTCATTGAGATAAGCCCTTCTCTACCCCAGGATTTTAGTGATATTTTCAGGACAGTGTTCTTCGGATTCTTAGAGATCCTGCTCTTTGCAAGAGATCAATGAGGCATGTCTTTGAGATCCTCAGCTGGCCTTTTACATATTTGAAAGGTTCTATGGAGCAACACCATAAGTCTTCCTAAGGTTTTAACAGAGCATTTCTAGTCATGCCTTTGGGTCTCATATTTAAACCATGTTTTCCTGATAGCAACGTGGACTTCATCTCTGTCCAGAGCCCTCCCTTTATGTTAGCATCATCTGCCATCCAGAGAGGCTGGGAATGAGATGCCCAGCAAACCCAGCCAGTCCCAGCTCTTTTATACGCAACACTTGTTTCTTCCTCTTACATCCTACTACCAACAACTAGAAGAATCCAGGCGACCTTCAACACTGCCTTCACACCTCCTTAGCATGATTATCTAGTCCATTAGGTATATGTTCTCTTTCCACTATTCTGCAGGTTGCAGGTTCTCTGCTGCTGTGTTAACAAAGATCCCTTTCCTCCAGAATCCTTCATGTGGTGTGATGTGGTCTGCAGCTGGTCATAGCAATGTGATCTTGATTGTAAAATGTGCAACTTTGGGGAACATCACTTTTGCATATGGCAGTGACATTAAAAGTAGCTGTAGTGATGGCTGATTTATATATTCTAAAATCTGTGTCTTATGCTGTGACATCCAGAAAAATAGGACAAGTTTAAAGGTGAAAATGGGATATGGAAGAAGCTTTGGATGTCCAAAGGGAATGAGTACCACTTCCTGAAGAAGATACTCCAGGCCCAAGTTTCTAAAGTTTGTTTTGTTTTTTTAAGTAGACTCCATGCCCAGCGTGGGGCATGAACTCACAACCCTGAGATCACGACAGAGCCAGCCAAGCACCCCTGGCCCGAGTTTCTAAAGAAAAATACCCAGGGATGCCTGGGTGGCTCAGTCAGTTAAAAGCGTCTGCTTTTGGCTCAGGTAATGATCTCCGGGTCCTTGGAGGGAGACACTCACTGGACTTTGCTCAGCGGGGAGTCTCTTTCTTCCTCTCCCTCTGCCCCTCCCCCCATTCGTGCTTGCTTGAGAGAGAGAGCGAGCGCGTGCACAAGCAGGGGGAGCAGCAGGCAAAGGGAGAGGAGAAGCAGGTTCCCTGCCGAGCAAGGATGCCTATGTGGAAGAGCCACCGCCCGCGAGCCTAGAGCCAGCGAGGGTTGGAGGGCCGCCAGGGCGCGTCCCGAAGCCCAACGCCGAGCTCGCCACCTCGGTTCTCGCTGCGCAGAGGGATGCTAGCAGGGCCCACCGAGCCGGTGACTTGGGATTCAGAAGGTTAAGTAACTCGAGCAACCGGCAGTAAGCGCCAGCCAGAGAGGAGGAGGCAACCCCCACCAGCGCAGGGAGGGCGATGTCAGCACGTACAGACGGCGCCCGGCGCGGGGCTGGCGCAGCGCGGCCGCAAGGGAGCCCCGCCGTGTCGTAAAAGGGCCGTACGTGAGCGCAGCTCTGGGGGACGGTGGGGTCCCATCTCGGACGCCGTGTCTGCGGTGCGGAGTGGGGCCAACCTGTTGCTCGTCAGGGCGAGTTCGGCCCACGGGTCCGCGTTCGCTGCCAGCCGGCCGGCCTCTCACGGGCGGTGACCGGGCCGCGGGGGCGGGGGCGGCGCGATGCGAACGGCGGAAGCGGACGAGCGGCGGGAGCCCGAGCGGCCTCATGGCCGCACCCCAAGCCCCGCGCGCCCGGACGTCGCCGCCCTCGAGCGCGAGCGCGTGCGCGCGCACCTGCGGGCCCGCCGGACGCTGCTGGAGGTGGCGAATCTGCTGGACGAGCTGCAGAGCGAGGTGGACACCTCGGCCGAGGGTGTTCGGGGCCCCGGCCGCTGCGCGGCCGGCGAAGCGGAGGAGCGGGTGCTGCAGTTGTGCGAGAAGGCGGAGAGGAAGGCCGCCGAGGCCGCGCTGGTGGGGCGGAGGATCGTAGAGCTCCACCGGCAGATAGACCGCTGCGGGTGCTCCTGAAGGACGCGGGGGCGGGTACGTGCAGGGCGGCGGGGGTAGTCGGGGGGCGGCGCGCTGGACGGGGATTCGTGCCGCCCTGCCTCGTTGTACCCCGCTGGGCGGAGGGAGAGGCGGGTGAGCAGACACAGGGTGGCGCTCTTAGATTGGGAATTAGAAGCAAGTGGTTTGTACGTGGTTGCGAAGGTAACAGGTGCACAAGGTGCGTGAGACCGAAGTGCAGGACGGGAACCCTACGTGCTGACTGGAGCGTTGCCCATGACGTAGCTGCAAGCGGTAGCATTTTCCATGGGTGGTTGGGTCTGTTTGACTCCAGGATATGAGAGTCTTAGGATTTAAATTGTGGTGATTAATTTCCCCACTTGTACGCCAGCTTATCAGCCGATGGACTCCATTCCGCTGGTAAAGAGGACGGACTGGAGAGGCTGAAACCGAGAGCGTTTTCTCTCCCATACTGTTCTTATATTTTCACCATGTTAAATAGTAGATGTCCAGTATCATTCTGGGGAGAGGATTTCAGTATTATGTGTGCGGATATGATTACGATTATTAGGTGCATTGAGTTTTGAGAATACTGCTTTTAGATAAATACTGTTAATAAGGGAATAGGGCCTAGGTTGTAAGCTGTTTTGTGGTCATATTCGTTATTGTGATTTTATTCTGTTTATTTAAAGTTCCGAAGTATACTCTTGTGCCTTGCTGCTTTTTTTTTATGCTTCCTGGAATCTGGGGATGCCTGGAAGAGGCTTGAGGTCAGAGTTCTGCAAGACAGAAGACACTGCCTGGCTGCAGCTGCTGAAAGGAGAGCCCAGACCGGCCAAATGTGGATGCCGCTGCTTTGGATCAGATTGAGAAGCCCCTGGAGGGTTGTTGGGCATGGAGAACGGTGGCATCTGTGTTTTCGGATTCTGTAGTGTGTCAGATCGAAGGAGGAGAGTTGTGTTCTTTTCATTTTTGTTTGCTTGTTTCTTTTTTTCAGAAATGTAATTTTTCTGTGGCATGTTAACTGGTGCACATCTTGTAACCTGTCTGGTGAGTAACCTAGAATAAGGGATGAGTTCTAGGTGCTGTGTGTATTGGCTGACTTTGGGGCACACTTTTTGATGTAATCATGCATTTCAGGAGCTTCTCTGCCACAGCTGCCTGTGACATGTGCATGGCCTGAAGGGTTTGGGGAGGGGAGCATGGGTCTGACCCTGGCAGGCCCAGAATGATAGCAGGAAGCTTCTTCCAGGCTGATATGATATCCAGCCTTGGTCCTCACAGGTTGAGATCAGAGCTCTAGCTTTCTTTGATAAAGTTCAGTTGCCTGGAAAAACAAATGCTGAAAGCCAGTTTTTAGAACCTTTGTGCAAATAACCAAAGCCATTGACTTGCCCAAGAAAAGGTGAGAGGAATAAATTCTTTTCAGAATAAAAGTTTCTCTTTGATTGTCGTTATTGTCAAATGAATGTCCAGTGGGAATGTGCTCAAAAGCCTGGACGCCAGAGAAGGGTTTGGTCTGTAGGGACTGTAACAGGAGAGGAGAGAAGATACAGCCTCAGGAAAACATTTGGGCTGGCCTCTGCCTTCAGAGCAATTCATTCAGTCACTTAACATTCACCGTGACCATGGACCCCGCCAGAGTCTGCCAGACACTAGGAATTTCCAGGAGAGATGATCCAGTGGGTTAAAACAGCTCTGTTAATGTAAAATCACAGTATAGCACCCCCGGTGCTGGTCTTTGGTTTGCCACATAAGCTGGGTGCCTGCGGATGGCTGGGGTGCATCGGTGGGCAAAGTGGGAGCCTTGGATCTGACATTTGTAAGCTTAGAGCAGTGCCCCGTCGTGCTAAGGCAGGAAGAAAACTGTATGTGTCAGGTAGTGGTAAGTTCTGTAGAAAAAAGAGAAGGGGTATTGGGGAGGGAGGGGTTGCTGATTTATATAGGGTGGTTGGGTGACATACCTGATGCAGCGACACTGGGGCAAAGAGAGAAGTGTGGAATGAGTTGGGGGTGGAGCAAGGGTGAGGTGGGGAGGCAGGGCACAAGCAGCAGGGGGTGCTTGGGGTACAGTGGTCCCTGCAGGTGCTGGCGGGTGTGTGGACTGCATTCTGAAAGTGTTGCTAAGGCATGACGCCAGTGCGCAAGGATCTAGCTGTGGTCCTGAGGCTCATGGCTTGAGCACCTGTTGAGGCTAGCTAGCAGTGTCGTTCGCCAAATGGGGGCAGTTTTGAAAGGGTAAGATGGTCCTAGTAGTAATGTGGTTTGTGGTCCCAGGCTTGCTGCCGGCAGACAAGGAGATGTAGGTACCCTGTGCTTGTACTGCAGTGGGAGCACTAAAGAGGGAGTCCACTGAACATTGGGGAGTGTGGGAAAGCTTTTTGGACCGAACGACTCTCAGTCTGGGCCCAGAAGCTTGAGCTCAGCCACCCGAACGGCACCCCAGGCACAGGGAATGGGCATCTCGGAACGAACTCTGGGAGTCTCTCAGGAGGTCGAAATGGGACATGATAGGGTTTGTGGGTGTTTGCAGGGCACAGAGAGGCGGGAAGGGAGGTGGGCATGGTTGTAGAGGTCTACATATGACCTGGAAGAGGTTAAACTTGATCCTGTGAGTCCCTGCTTCTGCCTCTGCGGTGTTTGTGCTCCTGGCTGGCCTGCACGTGCCATCGAGTACTTTTTACCAGGGCATATGTCACCGTGTTCGGAATAGGGTTCCCGAATGTGTGACAGGAAAGATACTGTTTAATTTTTAAAATGACCTACCCAGGGCAGGGGGGCTCAGTTGGTTAGGCATCTGCCTTTGGTTCAAGTCATGACCTCAGGGTCAGGGGATTGAGTCCTGCCTCAGGCTTCTTGCTCAGTGGGGAGTCTGCTTCTACCTCTGCCTCCTGCTCTGCCTGCTTGTGCTCTCTCTCTGACAAATAAAATCTTAAAAACAAAACAATGTGAATAAAATAAAATGACCTACCACTCACTAGAGTCACAACCAGGGCTGCTTCCGGCTCTATATCGAACCCCTAAAGCAGTGCTGTTCAAACTTCAAGTGTGGGGGTCCCTAGGTGGCTCAGTGGGTTAGAGCCTCTGCCTTCAGCTCAGGTCATGATCTCAGGGTCCTGGGATTGAGCCCCACATTAGGCTCTCTGCTCAGCAGGGAGACTGCTTCCTCCTCTCTCTCTGCCTGCCTCTCTGCCTACTTGTGACCTCTGTCTGTCAAATAAATAAATAAAATCTTAAAAAAAAAAAAAAAAACTTCAAGTGCATCGGCACTCATGGGATCTTACCAAAATGCAGGGTCCGTTCCTATGGTTAAGGACCTGATGTTGTGCATTTCTAACAAGCCCCCCCTCCATGCCTGTGCTGCTAGTCAAGGGACCGCGTTTTGAGTAGGTTAAGGAGGGTTTGCTGGAAACTGGGAAGCAGAGTGATGGGGACCCACGGAAAGGTTTGAGCAGGAAGACAACACCTTATGTTTGGGCTTTAGGAAATAGGTGTGTGGTGTGGGAGATGGGTGAGGTGGGGCTGTGAGTGAAGTTAGAGACCCCGTTGCTGGGATTGTACAGGGGGGAACTAGGGACCTGGCTCACCTCCCTGCCTCCACTTCCTCTGGCTGCTTGTGAGTTTGTCATTGTGGGAATTGCTGCAGCTGATATCCCGTCCCACCAGCACCCGGGTCTGTAGTCCTTTGCTAGAAGGGTGCCTGTAGAGAACATAGAAATCATTTTATGTGGTCTTTGAACTAAAATATAATTGACATCACAGTGGCAGGGGGGAGGGTCCTGTAGGTTTTGCTGTGGCTTCAGCAACAAATGATGCCAGGAGTGCTATGTGTGCAGCCGGGCAGGGCCAGGTTGTCAGGGCTGAGGACGGCATAACCCCTCCCAGGACTCCCAGCCTCCGAGGCCCCTGTCCTGGCTGTCCCCTCAGGCAAGACGTGGGTGACTTCAGCGGTGTCAGATGGAGAGGGCCAGGGGTGAAAATGGGAGGGGGAATTCTTGGGGAGTCCCTGTCTGAGTGTATTGTCCCTATTAAGGCAAATATGCTTTTATTTCCATTTTAAAATCCACTTCCTTTTTGAACCAGTGGTAGTTGGTATCAATACCTTTGCTTGCATCGAACTCATGAGGAATAAAGTCAGTCTCTAGGATGCGAATGGGATGGAACAGGTCCAACCCTAAAATCACTCAAGGGACCAAAAGCGCAGTGTGCCTGGATCCAGCTTTTTTTTTTTTTTAAGATTTTATTTATTTATTTGACAGAGAGAGATCACAAGTAGGCAGGGAGGCAGGTAGAGAGAGGAGGAAGCAGGCTCTCCGCAGAGCGGAGAGCCCGATGCGGGGCTCGATCCCAGAACTCTGGGATCATGACCTGAGCCAAAGGCAGAGGCTTTAACCCACTAAGCCACCCAGGCATCCAGGGATCCAGCTTTTGCTGTCCCACAGCCAAGTTCCTATAGCCTGTCCAGTGACAGTGCTTTGGACGTGTGGAATGAGAAAATAAAAGTCTGTATTAGAAAAATCTACTTGGGGTTTGCCCCTTCACATCATTATCTAATTTTCCCACATTTGAGAGGTCATTTTATTGTCCTCATTGTTCAGGTGAGGGCATGGTGGGTGCGGTGTCCCCTGGAACTCACCCAGAAGGAGATGCTGGCTCTGTGACTCTGTCCGAATGTGTCTGGGTCTCCAGAAGATGACAGTCTTGCACTCTCTTGTCTTTGAGCTTCCTTGGGGCTTGACATTCCAGTTGTCTCCAGTTCATGTCAAGTAACCACTCAGCCCTTAAGACAATTTCAGTGCTGGCCCTCGAGGCAAGATGCATCAGGCCTTTTCCTAGGCTCAGGGAATTCAGGGGGATCTCCGACTACGCTGGGACTTACAAGAGGGTTCTGTGTGTAGACTGAGTCTGCTTAGACAGTGGAAGATCTCTGGGTTCCAGACAGGCCCTGAGACACTCTCCCCCACTGGGGAAAGGTACCAAGAGACGAACTCCATCTTCGGTCTTCTTCCCATGGTCATCTGGCAACACCCACAATGCAATACTTGGGCAGTCAAGGGCGTCCTGAACCAGGGTTGGGGTGCCCTGTCTGGTCACTTACTCTGTATCTTCTAAGTCCCACATGCCCACCCACACTCCGTAGCCCCACAGGCAGAGGTGTGTGGTATACACTTTACACACCTACACGCCACGGCGCAGAGAAGGACAGATGAGGAGTTCCTTTAATGTGCTCCCGTAAAACCCCTGCCTGACAAAGCAGGCCTCTTAGGGGCTCAATTGAGGGGTCAGTGGGGGTGAGGCTTGTAGAACACCCTCTGCTGACAGACTGTCAGGTTTTCCCTGGAGTTCTATAGGTTCTTTGGGCAGTTGGATGCTCTGCGAGTAAGTGCATTGGTGCTTTTATCCCTTTGTAGTGATACTCTGTCAGTAACTGTTTCTTTTTTTTTAATATATTTTATTTATTTGAGAGAGTGTGTGAGCACAATCAGGGTGAGCAGCAGAGGGAGAGGGAGAAGCAGGCTCCCTGCTGAGCAGAGAGCCCGATGTGGGGCTCCATCCCAGGACCCCGGGATCATGACCTGAGCCGAAGGCAGAGGCTTTAACCCACTGAGCCACCCAGGCGCCCCACCAAAATTTAATTTATTGGCATCTCTATCCTCCTAAAATACACAAAGATCTGGAAACTTCTGATATGCTAGTTTTTTTTTTAAATACACATTAGAAATAATATTGTTCTATTTAATAATCCATTTTTATTTATATTTACCCACATATTTACCAATTTCTTTGCTCCTCATTCTTTTCTTGCCTCCAAGGTGGCCAGTCTGCACCCTGGAATTCATATTTTAGAATTGCATTTTGTGAGGAGCAACGATGGTGGACTTACTCGAATTTGTGTTTCCTTCTTGGAAGATAGTCTTGCCGGGTGTGTGATTTTAGGTTGACACACGTTCTCCCTTGGCACTTTTGAGATAATATTTCAGCACCTTTCTGGCATCTGTTGGAGATTTTAGTTATCACTTGGAACCAAATTCAAGGTCAGCACCATAGACTGCAAAGGGCTGGGTGGGCAGACTTCTACGATTTCACCACTCCAGCCCTTCCCTAGCCAGGATGAGCATGTGATGGCCCCAGGGCCTTTGCCCAATGCCTCCGAGTAGGACAATTGAAGGGGTAAGAATGGAGAGCAAGAAGGGGAGCACTGTGAAGGAATTCTGCTGTGGAGCGGAGCAGAGGAATGAGGTGACTGGGGAGTGGCTCACGAAAGGTCTCTTTTCTTTGATGATGGGTGACATGAAGAGAGGCACCTGCTGCTGGGACCCCCAGGGCACACCATGGCCCTTACCCCTCTGGCTCTTGTAGGCAGGTCCGTGCTTCTCTCCTGCTCTCCAGCCTCTGGTTGAGTTAATGTAAGCTTCTCTGCGGTTCTCTCTGAA